CCGGTGAGATTTGAACCGCTGAACTGCTGATCTAGCAGTCAGCTGAAGTGGCCTGCAGTACTGCACTCTACCCACTGCGCCACCTCGGCTCTTGTGACAGAAGACAGTCCTCAGCATGAAAATCGCCATGGACATAGCCAGGGTGTATGAGATGGCTGGCCACTCGATGCCAGACACCCGCCGACTGCCTCCCTCCGCGTTGCAAGGGTGGCCCAACTCAGGTGTGCACTCACACACGTTTTCCAACGATCCGTGCTCCGATGCCACAGCCACCGTGGATCGCATGAGGGCACAACCTCTGCACGATGGGAGTAGCTGCCTGAGCTGCGGTGGCCACTACCCAAGAGCATCATGCCGGTTCCGTTTGGCCGTTTGCCGCCGTTGCGGAAAAAAGGGCCATATTTCCACTGTCTGCAAGTCTTCCTCCGGAGAACCTCGGAACCCGAGACCTCCCTCCGCGTCCTCTTCGTCGACGCCGCCAATGACCAACCAACCTTCTGCTGGCCGACGCCAGACCCCGGGCTCATCTTCTGGCTGAATGTCCTGTTACGCTGTGACCACCCCAGAGCCAACGACGCCCGACTGGCAGCATGAATCAGCTACCTCTGCATCGTACAGCGGCCAGGGTAAAATGCACCTCCGCATATTACTCGCAGGCCGGCCTTGTACGATGGAGCTGGACACTGGCTCCGCCCGCACCATAATTGCGTGGGACACCATGAGGGCATTAGTACCAACCCTCCGCCCTGCACAACTCAGCCCCGCTGACTGCCTCCTAAGAGACTACCAGGGCCACACCATCCCAATCTTAGGCTGCACTACCCTTCCTGTCTCCTTCCGAACGTTTAAGGGAAATTTACCCCTACAGTAGTCAAGCCCTCTTTACCCTCATTACTGGGCATGGACTGGTTTAGAGCCTTGGGCTTAGGTATCTCAGGCATTAACTCCCTGCAATTAGCCCCCTCACTGGAGTCCCTGTTAGCAGAGTACGATGACGTCTTCTCAGATGCTTTAGGATGCTACAACGGCACCCCCATCACTTTGAATCTTGACCCTTTGGTAGCGCCCATCCGTTTGAAGGCCAGAAGGGTTCCGTTGGCACTGAGGGCTCGCATGGATGCCGAGCTCGACAAGCTCGTGTCCCAGGGAGTCCTAGAACCAGTTGACCACGCGCCTTGGGAAACACCTATAGTCCTGCCACTCAAAGCAGATGGCTTACTGAGGGTGTGCGCGGACTACAAGGCCACCCTCAACAAGGCGTTGCAGGCCCATCCTTACCCTGTGCCCGTAGTACAGCATGTCTTGCATTCCTTGGGCCAGGGCCAGATCTTCGCGAAGCTGGACCTGGCCCAGGCATACCAACAGCTACCTGTAGACGAAGCGTCCGCGACGGCGCAAACCATTGTCACGCACCGGGGCGCGTTTAAGTGTCGCCGCCTCCAGTTCGGCATTAGCGTCGCCCCAGGCATTTTCCAAGGTCTTATGGAGCGAGTGCTCCATGGCATTCCCGGGGTCGTCCCTTATTTTGACGACGTCCTGATCACTGCAAGGGACCGATCAGGACTCGTCAAAACATTAAGGGACGTCCTCTCAAGATTCCGCGCAGCTGGGCTCCACTTGAAGCGCGCAAAGTGTAGATTTGGCGTGCCTTCAGTGGAGTTTTTGGGATTTTTGGTGGATTCCAAGGGAATCCATCCCACCCTCGCCAAGGTGGAAGCCATCTCGTCCGCTCCCACGGCGACTAATAAACAGGAGCTCCAAGCCTTCCTTGGCCTCCTAAATTTTTATTCACCATTTATCCCGCACAAAGCAACAGTCGCGGAGCCCCTTCACCACCTCCTTGACACATCAGCCCCTTGGGCCTGGACAGACCGCGAGGCCCAATCCCTCGCGGCTGTCAAATCACTGTTAACCAATGCACCGGTGCTAATGCAATACAACGAGCACCGCCCGCTAGTACTGGCTTGCGATGCTTCTCCCTATGGGATAGGGGCAGTCCTCAGCCATTCATACCCGGACGGAACCAAGCTGCCAATCACTTTCTACTCCCGCACCTTGTCCAAACCAGAACGGAATTATAGTCAATTGGACAAGGAGGCCCTCGCGGCCGTAGCGGGAGTAAAAAGGTTCCACTATTACTTATACGGCCGCCACTTCACCCTAGTAACGGATCACAAGCCGTTGCTGGGCATAATCGCGGGGGACCGCTCCACCCCACCCATCCTGTCACCTAGAATGGGCAGGTGGTCAGAATTCCTTGCCGCCTACTCATACAGCCTGGAATACAGACCAGGGAAACAGCTAGGGCACGCAGATGCCCTTAGCCGTTGCCCCCTGCCTACCCCAGTCACCGACCCGGCTCCAGCCGCCTCGGTATTCACTTTAACGGAAGACGTCCCATGCCCCCTGTCAGCCACAGACATAGCGCAGGCCTTGCGCTCCGATCAGACCCTACAGAGGATAATGGATGCAGTAAGACGGGGTTGGTTGGAAGAAACGCGCATAGGCGACTTTCTCCCGTTCTACCGCCGAAGAGATGAACTGTCTGTGTCCCATGACTGCCTCTTATGGGGTGCCAGAGTGGTGATACCTGCCACCCTCCGCTCACAAGTCCTCACCAGCCTCCATGAGGGACACCCAGGCATAGTCAGAATGAAGGCCCTCGGCCGCAGCTATGCCTGGTGGCCCTCCATGGACGCAGACATAGCGGCTTGGGTTCAGCGGTGCCCTCATTGTCAGGCAGTGCGACCCGCTCCACCTTCCGCACCTTCGCAGACCTGGGAGAAACCTCCCTCTCCCTGGAGCCAGATTCATCTTGACTTTTTCGGCCAGGTGGAAGGCCGCACGTTTCTGATTATAGTGGACGCCCTGTCAAAGTGGGTCAAAATTTTCCAAATGACAGTAACCACAGCGGCCGCCACTGTGCAAGTACTAAAATCCCTATTTACAACACACGGCTTACCAGACGTCATCATATCTGATAACGGGCTCCAGTTCCAGTCGTCCACCTTCCTAACATTCTTAGCTGCACTAGGCATCCGACACGCGCCAACGGCACCATACCACCCCGCGGCCAATGGCCTGGCTGAGAGAGCCGTAAGGTCGGCAAAAGAGGGCCTAGCCAGGTTACACCCCCCTCCGTGGGCACAACGGCTTCGCACATATTTATTGGCTCAGCATACGATGCCAAACCAAACAACCGGGAAAAGCCCAGCTGAGTTACTAATGGGCCGCAGATTAAGGACAACTCTGGACAGGATGCACCCTGCTTTCTCCCCTACAACCCCAAATGTCCAACACTCTCCTAGAAATTTTCTGGTGGGTGAGGGGGTGTATGCCCAAAATTATGCAGGGGAGCCCAAGTGGTTAGCCGGGATAGTGACTGAGATAACCGGGCCCTGCTCTTACAGGGTTCTGCTGGCCAACAGAAGACTATGGAGGCGCCATGTGAACCAGCTGCGGCGCCAGGCACCGGCCTTCCAGGCAGCAGCAACCGACGGGGCCAACCCTGGCAACCCCCAACAGCCGCCAGGGTCCACTGGCTCTGGAGCCACCCAACAACCTCAACCCGGTCAACAAGTTCCACAAGAAACACAGCCAGGACTTGCTCGCCGAGGGGCTGATCAACCTGCCCAGCCACGTCATGCTGCGGCTCTGCCAACTACGCCCGACCACGCAGACCGAACACTCCACCCATTACACTACACTTACCTCGGCCCATTCCAATAGGCTCCAGGGTCGGTCCAGCCTCTCAGATGCGTCACCGCAACCAGGCACCACCTTCGTCATCGGAAGCTGCGCCCGCACTGAGGAGATCCCAGCGCGTGCGCAGACAGCCCGCGTATCTGAGAGACTACACATGTGCCATCTGGGGGGAAGGAGTGTTGAGTCCTCCCATGCCTGCCAACGGGAGGGGCCAGAGCAGCCGCAAGCTGATTGGCTGCGGCGCACCCACCAGCTGGAGAAAGACGCAGTGGGCATCTATTGGCTGGCCAACTGACAGCTCCCATATATAAAGAGCTGTCAGTTGGCCGGGAGCGGTCCACGTTCTGAATCCTCCAAGTTACCAGACCTGCATTAATAAATTCTTAGGAACCGTTACTGAGCCTCTAGCCTGGTTATTTAAAATATTGCTCTCTGCTTAATTGTTTGTCTGATGTTAATCCATATTTATCTAGGTTTTGGCTGCTGGAAAGGATGTTTTCTAATCTCTCTTTTTTTGTTGTCTTTTTTAATTCTCTCTTTTGAATGGTGTGTAATTGTGATTTATTTCTATATGTGCATTGATGGCTGATTTGTTTGAATGCCAAGATTCCATATTTCCCTAGGATTTTTGGATTTAACTTAGTCTAGGATGTTCATAGTTCCCTAGTTCAAACTATGTTGGGTCTGTTCATGTGTTGTGAGATTATTACTGAAGGATAAAGAAACCTACTTCCCATAAACACCAACCCAATATAAAAACTGTGCAACCTGATGAACCCACTCACTTAAGCCAAGACCAATGTGCTGAATGTCTAATATATAAAATACTGGAATATAATTTCACTAGTATAAATGGTTAAAAGTGATTCATTTGTCTATCTTTAAAATCATTTCCACAATATTAGAATTGTTGTTTTTTTTAAAAAAAAATTGGCAAACATAACAGAGATTTTGACTTTAAATTCAGATTTGTTCTTGTTCTGAAATTGCAGTGGCCAAGTGTGAATATTTCAATGCTGGAGGGAGTGTAAAAGATCGAATCACTTTAAGGATGATAGAGGATGCAGAAAAAGCTGGTATCATAAAACCAGGAGATACTCTCATTGAACCTACATCAGGAAATACAGGTATAAAATATGAGTAAGGTAGAATAGTGTTTTTTTTTTAAAAAAAAACTAGCCTCAGTGTCAAAAAATGGTTGTTATCCATTCCACAACTTGGCATTTTTCACATATTTAGGATTCATAATATTGTTTGGGAGTTACAGTGCTAACATATCTAAAGTGCCCAAGTCTGAGGAGCCGATTTAGATCAAATGCAACAGCTTACATATGTGTGTGTGTGTATGTATGTATGTATGTATGTATGTATGTATGTATGTATGTATGTATGTATG